TGGCTCTGACATGGGCTGTGTCACTCACCAACTGGGTCTTGGTGGGGACAGACCTGAGGATGGGGTGCAGTGTCCCATGGTGCCACTGGTGTTCATTGGCTTTTCTGAAAGTGAGACTCAGCAGTCCTGAACTTCATCCCAGTCTGTGGGCAACTGTCTGCATAGGGGCACAGCCTCTTCTGCCCATTTGTAGGCAGAATGTTTGTGATTTGTTCATATTTGGCTGGGTTTGCATGGCAGCATCTCTCACACAAAAATCACTCCGATTCCAGAGTTCAAATCCTTATTTCAAAGTGTGGAACTGGTACAGCCTTTTAAAGGAAGTCTGCACAGAACTTAAGATTAGCAAAACAATATATATATATTTTCCCAGCAGAAGAGTTTCAGCTGAAATTTTAAAAACAAATAAGTGCATAAATCAGTTTTTGCCCGAGCCAGGTGCCCAGCATGGACCTTGAGCCAGAACATCCAGCGTCTGGCAGAGCTGTGTGAGGCTGAAAGCTGACTCCTCATGTGAAGAGTGCAGCGTGTCTCATCGAGGTGGGATGAGCAGCTGTAGGCAGGCCAGGCTGCAAACACCATTCACGAGTACAGGTGATACTGGTCAATGTATTCAGCTGCACGGAGCTGCGTTGCCTTGGGGTAGTCTCTTCACTGACTTCCAATACCACAGCACTCATTCAGATAGGTATTTCCCTATCAGACATATGTAGTGAGCCAGGGGTCCTTCTGCTCTGTTGTGATGCCTTATAGCATAAAGAGGCAAAGCAAACTGCAGAAATGACAGAGCCATGTGCAACATTTTCAAGTTATGGAGTGATCCTGTATCTCCTTCAAGTTGATGGCAGCTTGCTGCGCCAACATGGAGTTAATCTATTCACAGTTCATTATGATCTTTAATAATTGGAAGTGATTGGTCCGAGGGCTGTAAACCTGGCAGAAATTTGTTGACTTGTTTTCTGCTGACTGCAAGCATGGCTTATCCACTGACAGATAAAGGTGAATGGCTGGCATCTGTAACCTGAAAAAGAGAAATGACTGGGGCACATGGTCTGCTCTGAGCAGAGGAGCTGCAAAGCTGCAGCAGGTAAAATAGGATTTCAAATGCAAACGCAAAGCCATTTCAGTCGGCTGCTGGCAAATTCCCAAGGCCGGGGTTTTTAATGAGGCTTCTGCATCAAAATAAGTGAAACCACATGGAATTTTAATTGTTCTTATTCTAAATCTGAAACACACTGGCAAAGTATTCTCCAACATAGTATCTTACATAATCTTAGTATTGGCATGTTAGTGTTACCACGCTTCTATCCTTAGCCTGTGTCCCTCAGAAAATGTGTGTCCCAACCTATAAATCACAGAACGGCCTGAGTTGCAAAGACCCACAGTGCTCCTCCAGTCCCAACCCCTGCTGTGTGCAGGTCGCCAACCAGCAGCCCAGGCTGCCCAGAGCCACATCCAGCCTGGCCTTGAATGCCTGCAGGGATGGGGCATCCACAGCCTCCTTGGGCAACCTGTGCCAGTGCCTCTTAAGGTTACCCTCTAACATAAAGGTTTTGTTCGGTTTGGTGCTGACGAACACTGTGAGTGGATCAGATGTTACAGGGGCAGGAAGATCTGTCCCTGTGCTCATCACTGTGTTTCTGGCAGCAAGGAGGAAAGGCGATGCTCTGTGCAGAATGTGGTTTCACAATGTTGTGGCCACAGCACAGGGTGGAGGTTCTGTGCTTCACCCATTTATTACACGCTATCACGAGAGTGGGAATTCACAGATGCAAATGATGTTCTTGCTCTGACAGTGGAAAAATTAGCATAAATCTTTAATCCTGCTGGAGAGAGGAGTAAATGAATTATTTGCTTGCACTGTCATGTTGCTATATTGCCAATCAGCGCTGCTGCTTGTGTGCAAGTAGATATAGCAAAGTAGTGCCGTACCCAAAAAGCTGCTTATGTTCCCAGCCCAGCAAAGAGCTAACCATGCATGAATGAATATGCAGCTGGGGTTTGCAAGTCAGAACCAAAGTCAGCCCTAACATGAGGGGAGGGGCAGGAGGGTGGTACAGCATCAGGGAGATGGCATAGCAGTGAGGACAGCAAGAAACTCTTTCAGAGGTTTCTCTTTAAGAGGTTTCCAGAGTAATTTGGAAAAGGAGTTTTAGGATAAACACCATAGAAAACTTCTTCTGGTCTCCAAAAAATATCTTTACACACTGGGGATACAGGAGGCTGAAGAAGGAACAGAACCTATTGCAGGAAGTTATGGAAATAGCAAAAGGCATTTGGGCAGAGGGAAGGTTGGAGGTGTGAGTGTGGTGTGGGAGTGGTGCAGGCACAGCCATGAGCAAGATAAGGAAGCATTATGGTTATTTGGCCTTTGGGTGGGTAAGATTGTGCTTTACAATCAACAGTAAAACCAGTGTGAATTCTCTGGGATGCGTAAGGAGGTCTGTCCTAGAAACACCTAAGCATGATGTGCACAGTTCTGGTCATACAGAGCGTGCATCCATCCAGGCAGTATTTGGATCTAGACCTGAAAATGAGATTGGCTTTTAATTATTGTGTTGATAATTGTAGAATCACAGAATCTTAGAATCACCAAGGTTGGAAAAGACTTCCAAGATCACCCAGTCCCACCATCCACCTACCACCAATATTTCCCACCAAACCACGTCCCTCAGTACCACGTCTACACACTTCTTGAAAACTCCAGGAACGATGACCCCACAACCTCCCTGGGCAGCCCTTTATTATAAATATAAATAGATATAGATATCAGTTGCAAAGAAACCAAAAACGCCGTTGCTCCTCTGCACCCTTGCACTCATACCACTTCTCCTTTGATTGTAGAAGTCTTGTTTAGCTTCTGTCAGGGTAAACTAAAAGCAACTCTGTTCATGTTGGGAGAGTTGCAATAACAATTAAAAAGAAGGGGAAAAAAAGAGTGTAAGCAGTAGCAGATTGAAACTCAGTATTTTGAGCAGCTGGGGAAATTATGTTCTGGCCTTATATTTCCAGATACGTATCAGACCTGTTCACAATATACAGGATTGAGTTCCAAAATTACAGCTTTGAATCTGGGTGGTATCGCCTCTGGGTATTGTTTGCAGTTGGGAACGAGAGCAGTTGCATCAAGCAGCAGAGTGTTTGCTGGGAAGGTACAAGTTATATTACATTCCACGCTGTTGTGGGTGATGATGGAGACAGAGCCATGCACCCCTAGGTCACTGATTCGGTTCCAGATAAAGAGAATAGTAATCATGTTGTCACCAGAGTTAAGATTGGGCCTTTACTGCCTGTGTAGGACCCTGTGCTCTCAATATTGTGAGCTGGCACCTTGCCGCTCCTGGGTTGCAGCTCGATGGGTTAGACTCTGGACTGGCAGTGACCCACGTCCTCAGCCTGAATCCATGCTGTATCAAAACTTGCCCCGCTGCCACCGGGGTATCGCCTGGTAGGATACTGAACTGGAGGCGTAGGCTAAATGGGCTGGGAGAGCAGGGGAGAATGGTGGTTTAAATCCCAAAACCCTGCAAGGCAGCAGGGTTGCCGAACCTGCAGCTGCAAAGGCAAAGGGCTGCAGAGGGCTGCACGGTGCTGCAGGTCTGCTGCCCCCCATGTCGGCAAGGAATAGCACTGCTGCTTTCACATGGAGGCTGTGTGGGGTTTCGGTGTTTGGCACATCGGTTGGCACCCAGGAGAGCCCGCGTTTTCCTTTTAAGTAATTCAGATGGCAGTTCAGCAAGAGGTGGGTGAGCCCTTGGGTCTAAAGTATTGGAGAGCTGTAGTTGTGTCTGCAGTGAGAAATTGATTCTGTGATTATTTTGCTCTCTATACCTTCCTCTCTCCGTCTCTCTCATTCACACATATTCATTGCCTGCCGTGTACTGGCTGAGGTGGTTGCCTCTGTTCTGCACTGCACTTCTCAGTTGGGCTTTTTCTGTTTTCCTTTGTCCCCTTCCCCACACCTTTTTGTTTCCCCGCTTCTCTGGCTATCAGAACAAACTCCTGCCGTCCCTTTCCCCTCTCCTGTCCACCCTGCAGTCTCCAAGCTGCTAACATTTGCTTCTCCGTTCTGCTCCTAAACTCTGGGCGTTTGATGTGGGATTCAAAATTAGGCAAAATGAGTTTACCCACCCCTGTTTTGCGTTAGAATCACATTCACAGCGTTACCATTCAGGCGTTTATAGTAGCCCTAAACTGTGTGGTCTTTTTTCAAGCAGGCTGCACGGGCTGTATAGGAAAACAGCTTCTTTCAGTAGCAGAGTCAGTGCTGGGCTTGTAATTTTCCATAGACAGTGAAGAGGAAAATTTGCATCTTTCCTATCATTTTAGCATCCTGGCCCAGTTTGAAGTCCCTCAGATGCAGCAGATACAATTTCCTACTCATAAGGATAGCTGAGCAGGTGGCTTTAGGACAAGGAGTGGGGCTCGGGCACCCCAGTGTAACTCCATTGGTGTCAGTGGGGCAGCTAACTCGGTGTTGCCAGCTGCCACGCATTTGTTACAAGCTGCACAGCTGCCATTTTTTCTTACGGCCTCAGCTCCTGGGGGCACGTGCTGACATAGAGCCCCAGCTTTCATTTCCATCGAGGCCACGATGAACAGCTGGACACCAGTCACCCAAGCGCACACCCTCAAAGCTCAGAAAGCAGAAGGCAAATCAAACTCGACTCTGCACTGATATTTTTGGCTCTCTTCAGATCTTGATTTTTGAGATGCTTTTTGGGGGGCCTGACTCGCGACTCGGCACGCTTTGGGTTGGCAGTGCCGCTCCTCCATTGGCATCGGTGGAGTCAGAGCAGGGACGATTCTGGCCCGGCGCATGTAGGAGAGGTGTATGACTCTGTTCCTTGCAATGTGTTACTGGGTATGATCTGCTGTTCTTTTGGGGACCAGAAGAAGTGGGTTTTCTTTAAAAAAATAAATTAAATTCTATCATCACTTGATACAAAAAATGGTATTTACGGAATTGTTTTCCCCCATCTTTTGTTATAATTTTTTAGGTGCTTCCGAGCTGGGCCCATTTTCAGATCCCAGGCAGTTCACAAGCATTTCATCCCTCACTGAGAGCCGCTTCTCCAACCCACGAATGCACTATCCAGCCACCTTTACCTATACACCGCCCGTCACCTCAGGCATGTCACTGGGTATGTCCGCAACCACTCACTACCACACCTACCTGCCACCACCCTACCCCGGCTCCTCCCAAAACCAAAGTGGACCTTTCCAGACCAGCAGCACTCCATATCTCTACTATGGCACTTCGTCGGGATCGTACCAGTTCCCCATGGTGCCGGGAGGGGACCGCTCCCCTTCCAGGATGCTTCCTCCGTGCACCACCACGTCCAACGGCAGCACGCTGCTAAACCCAAACTTGCCCAACCAGAGTGACGGTGTGGAGGCGGATGGCAGCCACAGCAGCTCCCCAACCGTTTTGAATTCTAGTGGCAGGATGGATGAGTCCGTTTGGAGGCCGTACTGAGATTGCTTCTGCCCGGCCCGACCTCTGCGAGCCAAAAACCCAAACGGTCGACAAACTACGAAGTGCCTGGCTTTTGTTTCACTTTTTTTTCTTAAAAAAAAAAAAAAAAAAAAAAAAAAAGAAAAAGAAAAAAAAAGAAAGAAAGAAAAAAAAAAAATTGATAGATTTTACCAATGTTTGCAACTGTGTAGATGGGATGATAACGGCCATAAATAACACAAGAGTTAACCAACACAGCACCACCCATGTTTCAGTTTATTTGGATCAAAGCTTTTTTTTTTTTTTTCTTGGAACCGTTTTTCCTTCTTTGATATTTAAAATGTACTTTCTATACACACACACAAAAAAAATTATCACCCCCACTTTCCCACTTTTTTTTTGTCACAAGCATGGTAATGAATAGTGAGTTCTTTTGCCAATGAGGAGAGAATGGACTCCCCAGCTACCAGGACAAACACGGTGATGCAAGGCAAAGGCTGCGTTCCCTTTCATTTTTAAAAACTCATCATGAACTCCAGATACAGTTGCAATCATACAACGTATGGGACCCTGCTCACACACCTAGTGCAATTCAACTAGCTTGTATTGGTGCACATAAGAAGGAAAGCAAAGATCAAGTTGCTTCCAATTTACTTTGTCACATTCAGATGAAAATAGCTGTCCCAAAACTCTGACCGAGCCTTGCTGCAGATAACAGTTGGAACTTCTCTGTGTTCACTCCTTTTTTGTTTTGTTTTTGGGTACCTAAAGAGAACAAGTCTTCGAGTTAGGCTAGACAGCCCCAGGGTTTCCTTTTTGCTTTTGTATCCATTCGTCTTGCCTTCGATCAGCCAAAAACCAAAAAAGAAAACCAAAACCTTTAAGAACGAAACATTATTACTTATGCAAAATATGGAAACGGCAATATATATTACTAGAGCCAAAATGGTATGCATAGTGTTTGTGTTCAGCTACATTCTTTTTTATATTTTTTTAAATTATAAGTGTATAAAATTTGAGGTTGTTTGCGAACATGAATCATCGTATAACTTTAAAAGAATATTTATAATTATTTAATGACATTTGGACCCTTTAAACGTTTCTTAATGTAATGATATATCGACTTCGGTCTCTAAAAGTAGTTTGTTTTTTTTTTTTTGTTTGTTGGCCTTTTATTTTTATTTTTTTACATTTCTACAATGGTGTGAACCTCAAAACTTGACCCAACTCTGAGAAGCAGTCCCAGTGTGAACCGCTTTACAAGTGACTTACAAACGAAACAAAACCAGCCCAAATACTTCCACATCAAATGACTTCGGATGTAGGATCTTCTTTTGTAACTTATGAAGGAAATATTGTGTTCAGAATATTTTATTAGCTGTCAGATTGCCTTCAACACAGTCTTGCCTTTTGATCAGCAGTTGTGGAGACACTGGAAAAAGCGGTAGGAAGGATGAAATATTTTCAACCCTTCCCCTGATTTCTTCCTCTCCCAGGATTCTCAGAACTTCAAAATTTGAAAGTATTCATATTTAAAACATTGTGATAGCTTGGTTTGAATTCTGATAGTTTGTTGGTTTTTTTTTTTTTTTTCCCCCAAAGAAAAATCAAAATCACATACTACAGAACTAACAAGTTGTTGCGTTTCTCAGAAATGGGAGTAAGGGGGAATTGGTGCAACCTTTTCTTGCCCTAGAAATTTTCAACCCTTTCTATGGAACAAAGAAGTTTAAAGTTGAGATAGAAGCTTCCCAGCCTGGAATCACTGAGCACTAGCATTAAATGCTGAACTCCTAAAGACGTTGGGTTTACTTTGCCATACTAGAGAAACAAGCACAAGCTCAGCAATACTCCGCTCTTCAGACCCGGCGCTGAAGACAGTCACCTTAAGGCCACCCTGGGGCTCCCAGGCGTGGTACACTGACGCAGGGAGAATGAATTTAACCTGTAACCCCTTAAGCCAACCTGTCTGCTGCCTAAGTGCCTATTGGAGGTGCACACATTTTGCCCAGCAGGTTGTTTTTCCCTTGCTTGGTGGGGATGCCCAAGCCTGGTGTTGGCTTAGCCCTTCAAAAGGGCTGCGACCCTCCCCTTCTGCCCTCAGCACAGCCATAACCTATGGTCGGGTTGGTGGTGGGATTGATGGCCTTTGAGGTCTTCACCAACCTAAATGACTCCAAATCTAAGCATCTTCCTCAGGGGCCGCGGGCCATGCTGATGTTCCTTGGCTGTGCTTGGGCCGCCTCCAGTTTTCGCAGTGAATCCACAGCAGGCATAGCCACACAGAGCCACGAGGACAACACCAACACCATCCCTGTTAGTTGATAGCAAAGCTGTTAAACTACAACTAGTCATCATTAGCGTAGTACATTCCTCCAATCTGCGTGATTGCGTGCTCTTAAAAAAAGTCTTTGCCTTCTAAAGGTTGTATACCAAGTATGCTTAAAATATAAGTAAGACACTTTTTTTTTTTTCCTAATAGTTTTCCTTCAAAGATGGAAGCTGTAATTGATTCTATTTATTGTTGGTTTGTGGTAGCTTGAAGCATACCACTGTCCATTTATTTGTAACTGTAAAATACGTTTGTTAGTCTCAGCAGCACTTAAAAAGCCAGTGTCTGGTTACACATTTCAGTTTTGGTTTTTGTTTAGTAAGCAAGAGAAAAAGATGTACTGCCAGTGCAAGCTGTTTCCTATTTAATAAAAGGTACTATATTTGTACATTATTTGTTATTGCTGAGAAGGGCTTTTTAAGGTTTACTGTATGCATATTAAGTAATTTTTAGGGTGCTTTTGTGTTGAAATGTTGTTAGAGTGGCTGCAGGCAGCAACCCAGATTTTTTTTTTTTAAGACTTTGTTGTAAAATTCAAGCACTTGGTTTTGTTTCTGGATAAATCCAGCACAGACCAGACTTCTGTTTTGCTCAGTACCGACAGCACTCTGCCCAAGCCCCCCATGGTTTTTAAGGTGGGCGATAGGGACAGAACGCCTTCTCCACCTGTGTGAGGAGCACATCCTGACCCCTGCACCCGGCTCCCGCTGCCGTGCAGGCGCTGTCTGCTTGAGCAGATGGGAAGGAGAGGATTTTCTAAGCACCTGCTGATGGAAGAGCACCGGCCCACTGACTTTTGGGAGACCCTCTGCTCCCTGCACCTCGTGGTGCCTCAGGAAAACCTCTCCCACCATCAGATGGCAGCCGAGGGGGCTGACGCAGAAATGCACATCGAAGCCTTTGGAAAGTGCTTCCAAGATCACTTGGAAATGCTCTCGATGCAGGATTTCAGACCAAAAAAAAAAAAAAAAAAAAAAAAAAAGAAAAGAAAACCAACCAAAAAAGACAGATGTCATGTTGTTACCTTACGGGATTATTTTGCAAGGTGCTTAGCATCAACAGAAAGGAGCTTTCTCTCAGAGGTACGACAGCCCTTCCCTTCAACGAGTGCAATCTTTGGCACTGGCCATCGGTAACGACAAAAAATGGCCTTTATTATCCTCCGTCTCTTACCCTACCAAAGATTAACTCCCAGCAGAACAGGCACGATGGCCCTTTTGCCCAATGGAGGATTGAATCCTCCTCCCCTCCTCGCGCGGTGCGGTGCCGGCGGGTGGGGATGGAGCGCAGTGCATCTCCCACCTCCTCTGCACGGCGTTGCTCGTCCCTTTCCGGTGCTGGCTGTGGTGCCAGCAGCCCCGTGCAGGAGGTCCCAGGCATGGCAGTGCCATCTCAAGCAGGAGAACTTGTGCACTTTGGAGCTTAGCAAAGCCACGCCACCAGGAGCTGCCGCTGGGCACTGCCAGCAAGCCATGAACAAAAGCAATAACCAAACCCAGACCAGCCATGAGTACGAGATCAAAGGAGCCCAATTCTCTGAACCCCAGAATTTCTTGTTGTTTTTAAATATAATGCATTTCATTTTAACATTTTTTTTCTGAGAACTCTTTTAGATGTTTGTCTACTTCCATGTTTACAGATAACTCTTTGCTTTTTTTTTTTTTTTTTTTTTGTTAAATAGTGCTTTACCAGTCTTGAATTTCTGCCGGAACGAAATATTTGTAGCATTTTGTGTAAATACAAGCTTTAATTTTTTTATTTTTTCTCAAACGCTGTCACCGGAGGTTTGCTTTTCATGCACATATTGTACAAACACATTCTGCTTTATGCCACAGACGATGATTGTGGATCGGTTTACTTCAACTTCAAAGGGACTATTTGTATTGTATGTTGCAACTGTAAATTGAATTGTTTGGCATTTTCTCATGATTGTAATATTAATTTGAAGTTTGAATTTCATTTTCAATAAAATGGCTTTTTTTTGTTAATGTTCTCTGCTTCTTTTTCTCCCGCTGTGTCCTCTCAGCTGCGCAGATCACTTTCATGACCAGGCAAAGTTGTTGGGCAAAGTTAGGATGCAATGGGACGCAGTCCTGGCCCTCCAGGGCTGGCCTCTTCCATTTCTGCAGCACTTTTTAAGTTTTTGACTGAACACAAACAGCCAACTTCCATGTCTGCAGGTGGTAACGGGCACCTTCTAACCCTGATCTCAAACATCGCTTTTCTTCCTGAGTCTGAAAGCTGTCAGCAAACGTGTTTCCTAGGAGAGCACAACTGTTAACTCTGGAACCTGACAACTGGCATTACAAGGGGCATTCTGGTGCTGTGGGGCTGTGGGAAGAGCTTGAAGTGGGCAAAGCTCAGGTAGATCTCCAAACCGGGTGGAGGGATTTGGGTTTATGGCACTTGTCCAGGGTGGCGGCTGCGCTGTCCCCACCTCTTCCTGGTCAGACCCGAGGAGTGCAGTTGCAGATAACCTTGTGATTTGTGTGGCGTGACGCAACAACAGTTTCCAAGCAGCAAAATACATATATGGACAAGGAGGGGGTTGAGGGAGGATGCTGTTCTTCCTCTGGCTTTGTGTCAGGGGTAGGAGGAGATGCTGATAATGAAGGCAATGCTCAATTCACCCAGAGCTGTCTGCAGGAGGAGAGGAGAGGAGTTGTGTGCCTGGTTTCATAGCACGTTCTTCTCCTTCCCAGCTGTTCTTTGAGTCTGCGTGTGAAACGGTAGCACAGAAGCACAAGGTTCTGTTCATTTCAAGAAACCTTTTACTCTGAAGTTCAACGAGGAAACTTGAG